CGCGGTCGTAAAGCCGTCGCCACCACGATGCCGGAGTACGTTGAAGTTTACCTTCGTGTCAAGGTCTGTTTGTGGGTCGAACGTCCATTCACAAACAGTCATTCGACGACAGTCACCCCGCTTGTACGCGTCGATCGCGAACGCACGCCTAACACACGTTACGGCCTTGAAACTTTTTTTACTTAGTTCGACGTCGAAAAACTGCTGTGCTTTTGCTGTGCAGGTATCCGCCCATTCATTACTGGATAACGCTGTACCTTCGGCTCTTCATTGTTAATTCGCTTTGACACCGCTACCTCTGAGGCTATGTTTACCTCGAGCACAGACGCGACCCTCATGGCCAGGACATATCTCACTTTTGCTACAGCCTGTACTTCCATTACATGTTACAAGAGCCTTTATTTTAATTTCACTGAACCGTGTATGGAAAATTTGTCGCTCGATAAAAGGCGAAGAAACCATATCTTGACGCAAGACTTTTTTCTTGCTTCCAACGAAGCGCCACGATCTCTGTCTTCGCCATGAAAGCTGTGATGTTCAAGATCTCCAGGTCACTCGCTCTACGCCGTTTACAAGTACACAAACGACTACCACTTCGGGCGAAACAAACGGAAAACTAAAAATGGCGCTATGGCAGTTAAATTGCTATGGATTTGCTTTAGGGAAAACAACAACAACAACACACTCCTGGCCGGTGATACACAAACGGAGGATATCACATAGTATGAGCCTCATGAAAAAAGCATACCACAAATGATGCTCCGTCGTGGTAATACAATGGATACTAACCTATTCGGGCTTTTCTTTTTCTGCCCTCTCAAAGTAGCAACCAATGGATACAGCGCTGTATATGACATCATGCTAGCTCTCAGGCAATAACTAGTCAATTATGTACTAATAATCGACCCTGAGGTGGCCTGTGGTATATATGGTACAGCGGCTGCTGCTGATATATGCATGTGCATCTTATTGTGGACCGTTAGTTCGTTTCATTCAATTGATTGATCATGCGTCTTAGACAAATAACAAAGTTCGGTGGCTGCTGCTGCTATTAATTATTATTCCTATAGGTCCTATTAATTATTTACTTAGCTAAGATTTCCCAGTTTTAAACAGTGGAGAAGAACAGTAGAGTTATGTCCGCGTTCAATCCTCTCAGTTGTGTGAGCAATGGAGATGACGACAACCAGTTCGAGGTCTCTTTCCCAATGCCACCAATCTGGCATATGGAAGAATAAGCTGCGTCGGAACCGG